TTAAATTAAATTAATAAAAAAAAAATTAATTAAATCAATAAAATAAAAATTAAATTATATCAATTTAACATACATAGCAGCCACAAGCGTAAGTAATAATCTACCAAAAAAAAAATTAAAAATTAAATATTAAATTTAAATAAATTAATAAAAAAATTAATAAATTAAACCTGATCCTTTACTGCAAAATCGTCCAAATATTTCTATAAATAAATAAATAAATAAAATAAAAAAATAACCCACTTACCACTTCATTAAGAAAATTGTTATCACAAATCCTGAAATAATATAACTTAAAAAATAAACAAATAAACAAATACAAAAAAAAAATTTAAAAATGAAATTAATTAAATTTAAATAAAAAAAAATTAATCCTAACTAACCTTTTATTACAAAACTGCTAATTAATATTAAAAAAAAATTGATAAAAATAAATTAAAAAAAAAAAATAAATAAATAAATAAATAAAAAAATAAATTAAAAAACTTACCGATATAGTCACTAATAACTAAACGAATCCTTAACGAAACTGGCCAAACCCAATTAGAAACCTGAGTAAGAAAGATTTTTAAAAGCTAAAATCGATCGCTTGGTATGTGAAGTATTAGAGAAGGCTTTGGATTATATGTGGAAAGTAACAAACAAATAATGCCTAAAATTCCAACCGATCCTGAAATATAAAAATAAATATTAATAAATAATTTCCAATTTATACACAGCAATTTCCCTTTTATTTTGCTCTCCACCGCCTCCACCACCCACTGCCCTTCACTGCCTTCCCTACCCACTGCCTCCACTACCCACACCTCACTACTCACTTAATTAATTAAACACAAAACCTAAATAAATTAAAACATTAAAAAAAAATATATATTAAAAAAAAAATATTAAAAAAAATTCTTACCCACAGCTGAAGTTGGTAAAGCTTGCTTTCTTTGGTTCAGTTCTGAAGAAAGAAGCTTTACAAAGGCAAAAAAAGATTATCAATTTAATATTTGATAATCAATTTAGAATCTGAATCTGAATTTGAATCTGACAGATCAGATCTGAATCTGAATCTGAATCTGACAAATCAAATCTGAATCTGAATCTGAATCTGACAGATCAGATCTGATCTAAATCTAAATCTGAATTTGATGGATATGATCTGAATCTGTGTAGAATACTAATAATAATGATATAATAAGCAATACCTAATATGGCTAAATGTTCGTAATGGTATTGAATTTGATCATCATTTTTTGCTTGCTTAAATAAATTTTAAAAATTAATTGAAATTACTTTATTTTAAGTAATAATTACTAATATACGTTCTTACCATAACTGATCACTTGTATTCTTATGTATCATATAGATTGATTTTGTTAATATTGACTTCACGCCTATGTATATTAGAAGTATTAGCATATTCATAACCTCTAATATATACATTTGTACTATTTGATAATAATGTTACAGTATATAATTCTTATCTTAAAAGAGAATTATTAATAAACTCATATGATCATGTTAAATCATTATTATTTAATATTACCATATCATTAAACCTTTTTATACCTGTTTCTAATCCTGTTAATCTATTGGAAAATCCACCAAAGAAATAAATTTTTTCAGAATAAATAATGGCTTTCATATTCATTCGATTCTCTGGCTGTATTTCTGCAACTACTGGTACTTTCCATTTTTGATTAAATATATGAACCATTAAAGTAAATGAATTTTCATTATTTTGATTTTTCATAATTCCTCTAATTAAATAAATTACTAGATTATCATCATTTTTACTTAATACAATAGTTATACAGTTTAGGATATAATAAAATATCAAATGTTTCAATTTTGAAAATTTTATTAATAATTGGCTAAAAAAATCATATGATAATATTAAATTTCGTTTATTAATTCATCAATATTTTCAAAAATATAATCTGGAACAACTCGATGTGATTTATATTTTTTTAAAACATATTCAGCTTGTAAACCAATTAATCCTTTTTGATAACATTCCATAAATTTTGCTGATTTATTAGCATATTTGATTTAAAGGAACTGAATCTAATGCACGCGAAACTGTTTCTTATAATCCTTTTCATGTATAATTACAATGTTATCGGGTATATCATTTTGCAGCTCCCCAATACATTTCAATATAATTGAGTTCACAGTAAAATTTTGGATAAAATATTACTTTATGTCCTAATTCTTTAATAATTTCCTGCAATAATGGTTTTTGATTACAAAAATCCTCTTAAGCAGCCAAAATATGACATGCACAACATTTTGGATTTTTTAATAATATATCACTTTTACCACAAAAGCTTTTAATCCTTAATTCCATAAATTATGTTCTTGTAAAATTATTTTCATTCTTTTAGGTTTTCTACGAAGTGTTTTATCAGGATAATCAAAAGGAAATACCATATTTTGAACTTGACCATACCATTGAATATTGTATCATGCATAATTAGTTGTTTACCACCAGGATTAAGATTCATATTCATTATATTAAGAGTATTATTAGCTAATTTTGCATGACTAGAAGAATTATTAAAGGCAAATACAGCTATCATGCGGATGTGTTTTTTCAAAAATTGATATAGCTTTAGTTTTAATCTAAAAAATAAAAAATTTTTTATTTAATTAATAATTTTAATTTAATAATTTTAATTTATATTAATTATTATAATAAAATACCTGATCAATTAATTGATCAATATTCCACCATCCATTTAATTATAACACGAGTTTCACATAGAATGATATTATCAATTTCTTCTTCATTTATTTTTAATCTTCCAATTGTATCAGTTAGAAAATCACTAACATAAATTGTTCTTTCTTGTCATTTTTTTTGTAAAAGTTGCTCATTTTTAGATCTCCAACCTGATTTTCATCTATCATTTGATTAAAAAGTTGTTTCATCATAAGTAATAAGAACATGTATTTTTTGTTCACCTTCTAATTTAGAATCAGTTCTAATTTCAAGTTCATTACCAATAAATTTTGGCATTAAACTTTAATAGCTATAAAATTATATATATAAATATAAATATAAAAATTATAAATAAATTAAAACATAAATTAAAAATAAATTTATTATCTAGCCATAGTTTCAAGGAATTCTTTTCAATAAGTAATAACATCATCTCTTTCATGACCATCAATATACATTCCTTTTATATACTGACTAAATACAAATCCCATTTTTTTTAACCATTGAATTGCTGTTTTTTTGCTATAAAAATATAAAAATTTTAATAAAATATAATATAAAATAATTAATAAAATATAATGTGATAAATAAAGTTTACCTAATTTTATTTTGTTTTTTTATGCCAATAGAAGGTAAAATCTCATTAGAGATATAATCACAAAAACTGTGAACGGTAATATCAAATTTATGTTATTGTAAATATGATGCCACTTTTAGTTGAACATTCTTATCATCAAGAATACTGCTTCCTTTAAAATGTTTTCTATGATTACTTTGAGGAATATCATCATAATTAATAAATGTTTTAGCCTAACTTCTAATACAACGAGCAAACCATTCTCCTCGATTAAATAGGTTTGCAATAACTTGACTTGCATTTAATTTTGTATGACTTTTGTTAAGGAGTTGTAAATAGTATTGAGTATCTTTGAGTCAGATTTTATATCCTGGAGTTAAGTGCTCATTTTTAGATTTTAATTTGTTTTCAATTGTATCAATAAATGCTTGTATATTTTTTATATCACCCAAATTACCATCAGAGCTGACATCAGAATCAATATTAGGATTACTGCCTAATCTACCACCAGAGTAACTACCAGAATTACCATCAGAATTACCACTAGAACTACCACCAGAATCACCACCAAAACTATCACCAGAACCACTACCGGAGCCAGATAACAGTTGATAAAGGGTTTGCCCATTTTTTTTCTATCCTTTAATGCTTCAATTTTTTCAATATTTGGTTGTGCGTGAATTTTTTAAATATATTAATGGACGCTTGGATAAGTTTAACACCTTCATATTTTCGATTAAAACTAAAAAAAGGCGTTCTGCCTCATTCTCAATTTAATCATCAATCCATTCAATTTCATCCTTTGTGCTATCTTCATCATCTGAACTTAAAATATCATTGGAGATATTATGACTTTCCTTACTTTCGAGTTTTCTTTTCTTTGCTAAATCTTTATAATGTTATTTTTGTCATTTTAAATGTGGCATTTGTAAGTCCAATCAGTTGATACACATGCATGTAGACTAAACTATATATAAGGGGGAGTTGGATGCACAAACGAATTAGCTGATCAGGCCTATAGATTCTGATCTGGCCCACATTATAGAAATTTGTCTTAATTCAGACCGAAATTATTGTTTCAAATCTTCATTCACTTAGAAAAATATTCGAACTTTGCAGCTTAATAATTTTTTATCTTGATGTTTAATCAGAATAATCTCAACATTATATTATGGGGGCGATTAATATCTATCAAATTACAGTCAACTCTTGTTATAACGAACTCTATGTCCTAGACCTCAACTTCGCTATAAGGCTATAGTGAAGATTTTAAGAGATTTTATTGGCCAATTCGCTATAACAAGAGTATTTTTGTTATATTTGTTCAAAAAATTCGTTATATCAAGAGTTCGCTATATCAAGAGTTGACTGTATGTTGAGATATTTTGGATAAATACTCTGAAAAATTTTTTATTAAATTTTTAAGTTGGACAAATTTTATTGGATGCCTTATTGTGTCCCCCACTATACTACTACTTTTAAAGCCCATTTCTGAAGTTTCTGTAAGGTCAGTCCATGGAGGAATCTTTATATTAAATTGTTGAGATACGTCAAGAAAGAATACTTCATTTAAAGCATTGAAAGCAAAACCACCATCTTTTGTATACCAAAGAAATAAAGTTTATTTACTACAAGTACAGAGGAGTGACCATACTGACCCAAAGGAATAAATGGTTCGACTTCAATGAAGCAGTGATTAAATGAAATAAAAACAAATAATATAATATAAAAGACATTTTTCAAAGATAATGCTAAGTTGAATGCATGTTTGTTTATAAATGAAAATTGGTGTGTGTGAAACAATATTGGGCTAAATTCAGGTTCAACACAAAATTTGCTGCGCCATCATTCCTGAATTTATATTAGCGAGCTAAAATCCATATTAATTAAAAAAAAAAATGAAATTATTTAATTATCTATTATTTATTAATTTTATAACAGAAAAGAATTTGTATTCTATTATTCTTTTTCAAGAAAATTATTATTCGGAAATATGATAAAGAACTAACCATAAATCATAATATTTGTTTGGGTCGCACATAATAAAAACATAGTAAACGCCCCGATCATCAATCGGTACAACTTTGAATCGCAAATTTGCATCTTAAAATAAATGGATTAATAAATATTAGTAATGATTATTTTTATACTCAGAATTATTGTATAATTTGATATACCATTATATTCCTTTTAAGTTCGACAAAGGAAAGTGTCGTGGATCGGAAACAATAAAAAAGAGGCTTTTATTCACAAATCATGTGGAATGTTACACACCTTTCATTTATTTGGCCTTATCGCTTTCATACAGATTTTTATGAAACATGAACTGTAACTTTTGTATATCATTTAAATATCGTTGCATAGTTATAATTTTATTTGTTTGTTCTATGTTTTTAGCTGAATAATTTGCTTCTAAAGGACTGTTAGCACATTCCTCATTCCTTGTAGAAGTTAAGCTTTACTTTTTTGGCGGCGCGGGTGAAATAATTCCTCAAACCACCAAAGAAATCTTTTATATTGATGTATCTCAACCATTGGATAAATCAAATACACCATAGTTGTACCTTACGGAGTAAAGTCCGGCGATCTTTTTGAGTGCAATCATGCGAATTTTTTATGCAGACTGAATAAAATTTAATAAGACTTGGCCACCATCAGACTGAGATGACCATGCTGAGTCTTGTAATTTTGATTAATCGGACTGTTAGAATTTATATGACATATATAATGTGTACCCAATAAATCTCCGCAAAAACTCTATCGTTTTAAACTTAAAAGACAAATGGGCGTCACATGATTGTATTAATTTTATATCGAAATAATTTTTTTTATAAAACCATGATTTGGATGGAAAAAGTTCTTCACACTTTATGCATTTTTATAAAAATTTCTGATTTCTGACCATTACACTGCGTCATACAGCCATATGTATCAGTATTGTTTATTAACAAAGAACCATCTAATCAATCCTAATATTTAATAATTTGCTGCAAGAAAGCTTTATATTTTTTAATTGTAATGATATATACATTTAGAATTTAGTCTTTATATATGTATATTACAGCATGACATGATAATTATTATAATAACTAACATTTGGTATTTTCTCCGGTGTAGCATTATCGTCAATAATATCCATATTTACAGTATTCAAATATTTCTTGAAATAATTTTATAAAGAAATTTAAGAGAATATATATGTAAAAATTAAACTCATTATAAAAGATTAAAATAAATAACAAGACATTATAATGAAATCACTCAACCACGAAACTACTCATTATATTAAAAATAAATTAATATCATTATAATAAAATCATTCACTGCGAAACCACTCATTATAGTGAATATAGTGAACGTGAAAAAAAGAGTTTATGATGATATTGGTCACAATAAAGCTTGTGTGACGTTAAAACTAATTGTCGACTCAAATAATTTTAGGCAAGTTACTGGACTGCGTGGTCCGATGATCAGAACCCAAATTCATATGACTGAGCTAAAAAGTGACATGACTGTACTCAAAAAGATCGTCGGACTGTACTATGCAAGATATACTCAAACCATAGTACATTATTAGCCAGTCTCAAGAAAATCCTCATAATTTCATTTTGTTTCCTTTTTTTGATACCATTTATAGCCAAGGATCCCAATCATCATTAAAATTGCGGTACCCACAATTCCGCTCAATGCACCAATTACAAAATTAAATTTTGGAAAAGCCGGAGGCATTGTAGGTTTTGGTAAAATTGTATTTGAAGGTGTAGGCTTATGTTCAAATTTATCAACCCAAATAAAGTTATTAGAGATATAAATATCTAACAAGTAAATCGAAATTTCTGTTAATCCATTTTGATGTGTAAGATAACCTATATAATTCAATAAATCATTTATTTATTAAATATTACGTACTTGGAATATTTACCAAAGCAACAATAATATAATTTTCAACTAAATGAGCTGAATGATGAACAAGTGATGGAAATTCATCAATATTTGATGATATTCGCGGTATGGTCCATTCATATGTTTGGGTATTCAAAATAGCCAAGTCTGGTACGGCTTTAATAGTTTTATTACTGTCACCTTTTGTCCCACCAATTATAATTATTTTTTCATCTTGAACTATATAAGATTAAAAAATATTTTTTTAATTGATGTTTCAAGACATAAATTATTAATGGTAGTAAAACTATACCTAATACGGCTGAATGACCGAAACGTGATTCAATTTGACCAAAACTCAATGCTTGCTTAAATATTTTTGATGTTTAAATTAATTGTTTTAAGCAAAATGAATCATAATAAATACTTTACACTTATTATTTTTGACCAGTTGTCAAATTTTGTATCATAAAGGTCAATTTTGTTAATATCTATTTCACGCCCAATTTTATCAGTAGTTAGTTCCCATCCTCCAATATATACAATGATACCACTTGATAATAATGTTGCTGTATATGCAATTCGTTTTGAAGGAACATTAGCAATAGAACCATATGACCACGTTAAATCATTAGTATTTAAGTATCATTTAATAATATTATATTTTCCAATTCTAAAGAACCATATAAATTTTTCCGGCATTATCAACGACGGCTTGAAGAAATCCTCGTCTCAATGGTTCTGTTCCCTTAATTATAGGTGCATTCCATTGCTCGGAATTTGGATTAAATGTATGAACTAGTGAAATAAAAATATCTGCATCATTTTTATTTATTATATATCCTCCTATAAGGTATATTGTCAAGTTATAATTACTATCATTCACTGCAACAGTAGTTTCCAAACAACTACTAAATTTTATTCCTGAATTTAATGTAATGTCAGTTCATGACGGAAGCCTCGAATCAAATTGTTGTGATATGTCAAGGTAAAATACTTCATTTGTACAGGTTACTTCATTTCTTCCACCAAAAAAATATAGTTTATTTCCAACAAGGACAGATGAATGAACGCCACGTCCTACAGGAGTAAATGACTCAACTTTAAAGACCAAATGAATAATTATGATGAAAAATAATTTAAGTAATTTATTATATTTTTTGCAAGCCATAATAAAAATTTTACTTAAAAAAAAAAATTTTTTTTTGCCAACTTTATAATTTATAAATGAATTTTACATTACACAGCATCAAGATGCGCCGACCTTATGTTAAATGCAAATCCTTTGTCAGTACAAATTAATATTTATATCAATATAAGCAACGGTCTTGATATAAATAAATAGATTATAATAAAATCAGCTCTTTCTGCAGAATTTAGATTGAAAAACGGAATTTAATTTTTTTAAAAAAAATCCATTAACTCATTTCTCATTTTTATAAAAAAATAAGATAATTATAAATCGTTTCATTTAAAAATTTTTGAAATATATCAACAAATCGTCTCCTGATAAAATTTTAAAACAAATTCAAAAAAAAACTGTCATTTTAGATAGATTTCAAAGTATAAAAATTTGCTTCCGCTGCTTTTTAAATAAAAATTTTCAAATTACCATCACTAATACTTTTTTTAATAAATTTTGTTAATTTAAAATCGGTATTATGTATATATCGCTTTATAACAAATACGAAAATTTATTATATGTTTTTCAAATACAAGTTTATAATAGTATAATAATTAATATTAAAATAGGAATCATTATCTTTGAAAATTATGTTAGTTCTTTTATATTCATCTCGTATTTACTCATTTTCTTATATTTGGTGTTTTTTAAATATTTAAATTTGTTACATTGTACAAGTAATACTTTTTATTCTATTTATTAGTAATTTTCTAACTATTTTTCTTTATTTAGAACTTTTAGACGGAGAACTTGGAAAGTGTAGTGCTTCTTACTTTGTATTAACTTTATTCTTTAAAGAGGGTTTCATTTTTAAAAAATAATGAAACATTTTTTGGTTGCTGCATTCTGCACAATTCTGTAATCTTTAAAGTTATTAAAAATTAAAAGATTTTTTAAGTGCTGTACTTAGTCTATTCTTTATTGTAAGAGAAGAGTTTAAATGCTTCAAACGGACCTTGTGATAAAATTTTTTGATTATTAGCATGTAAAGTGAATGAAAATGGCTTTACATTTATATAGAAAGTATTTAAATGATTTTACCGGTAAATAATATGGTACGGACTTATATATATATTCAATTACGGATATAGATCAAATCCGTTACTTTCATAATTTAGAATTAAGTTTAATTGATAAAACCATATAATGAATCACAAATTAAATGCATTATACCTCATTAACTTTATAACATGTAGAGAGATTTCAACTATTAAATCACTAATTCAGAATGTTAAATTAAAATATTTGTTATTTTGAGAAATCTTCATCGTTCAATGATTTAAGAAATAAATTAAATGTACATGCGTTTTTAATTATCTATTTGATTGATTTGTTATCGTATACTTTAAAGAATATCTTAAAAATTGAAATAATAAAAAAGTAATATTAATAGTTATAAATTATTATTATGCATTGTTACCTGTAATTCTCATAATGAGTATAAAAGGAGGAAATATGAAATTTTTATCTAATTTTAGTTTTAAGCTAATGACTGTGATCGGTCAAGTGAACCAATGAAAAGTTTTTCATCAAAATTTAGATTTCCTCTTTTTTTATTGACAACCGCTCACATCTTTCTGTTTTCGCTTTTGATACCATCTATAGCCCACGATTACAAATGTCATTAAAATAGCGGACCTAAAATTCCGCCTATTGCAGCAACTATAGTATTTTTTTTACCATCGGTATTTTTAGAATCCGAAGCAGTTGTAGTTGTATTTGAAGCAGATATACTTTTTGGTTCAAGTTTATCAACCCAAATATAGTTATTAGGGAATTTAGTATCTAACAAGTAAATTTTATTTGACAATGAAGGTTCTGATAAACCATTGAGATTTGTAATACGACCTAAATAATTAAATAAATTATTATACTTATTAGATAGAAATGTTGTTTACCAAAAGCCACAATCATAAAATCCCCAACTAAATTTGCTGTATGATAAGCAAGTGATGGATATTCATCAATATATGATGATAATTGCGGTACGGTCAATTCAAATGGATTCGTTTCAGTATTCAGAACAGCCAGGTCTGGTATGGCTTTAATAGATTTATCATCATCTTCTCCTTTCACCCCTCCATATATAATTATCTTTCCATCATGAACTATATAAAAGTAAATAATATTTATGTTAATTATGTGCTAAGCATAATAATGACATTATAATAAGCCATACCTAATACGGCTGAATGTCCGTAACGTGATTGAATTTGATCATCATTTCTTGCTTGCTTGCTTAAATAAATTTTAAAAATTAATTGAAATTACTGTATTTTGCGTAATAATTACAAATATACGGACTTACCATAACTGACCACTTGTTTTCTTTTGTATCATAAAGATTGGTTTTGTTAATATTTACTTCACGCCCACGTTCATCAGAAGCATCAACATATTCATAACCTCCGATATATACAATCATACCATTTGATAATAATGTTGCAGTATATAACTCTCGTCTTAAAGGAAAATTATCAGTAGACCCATATGACCATGTTAAATCATTAGTATTTAATATATCATTAAAGCTAACAAATTTATATCTAAATTGTCAGTTGATCCTCCAAATACATAAATATTTCCAAAACCATCAGAAACGGCTTGAATTTCTTCTCTTCTCGATGGCTTTTTTCCTGTAATTATAGATACATCCCATTTCCCGTTTTTTGGATTAAATGTATGTACAAGTGAAGTAAATACATCCTTAGAATTATTTTGATCAAGCATACTAGGTATATATATGATTGGGTTATTATTCTTATCATTTACTGCAACAGTAGTCGCCCAACAACTTCTAAAACCTATTTCTGAATTTAATGTAAGATGGGTCCATGACGGAAGTCCTGAATTAATTATATCTAGAAATAATACTTTATTTGTACAAGTTGTTCCGTTTTCTCCACCAAAAAAATATAATTTATTTTCAACAAGGACAGATGAATGGGCATAAAGTTCTACAGAAGCGAATAACTCAATTCTAAAGAACAAATGAATTAATATGAAAACGAAACAGAATTTAAGTAATTTATTATATTTATTGCAAGCCATAATTCAAATAAATAAATTTTTTTTTTTTTGAGAAAATTTACATCAACGACATTTTTAGAAGTGCCGATCTTCACATGTTAGAATCAGTTTTAGTGTAATTCGATAATAAATCGGTTGGTCGCAAAATTTCGAAACCGGTTGAATGCTATGAGCTTGTCAAAAAGTGTTTAGGAATTTTGCTAGTAGATACTGAACATTTAAGGCGCCCAAAACTTCGTTTGGCGTTCTAGTAAACACATCGTGAATAAATGTTATACTTAAATAGTAAAAATTTTGTATGAGCTATTGCGCATTAAGACGATCGATGACGACGATGACGATTAGAAAAAATTAATTATCGAAGTAGTTAGATATAACTTAAGTATTATAAGTAATGCAGCAACAAATCAGAATGAACTCGAATCAGATTGATACAAGCCCAAACAAATATTATTTTAAAATCTTCGGAAATCTTTTTCAACATAATGTAAATTATAGACGAAATTTTTTCCCCATAAGGATGATTTTAAAATAAGGGCAATTATTTCTTATTGGAACCAACATACGACTTTATAATATTTACCATTATCTGGTGTTTTAAGAAATCGGCATTTACGAATGGCACATTAACTGCGGAAAAATAATGAAAAATGTTAATTATATTATAATGTCAATTATGTATATAAATAAAAAAATATTAAAAACGAAATTTAAATAATTATTTTGGTATAAATATTTAATATAACAGATTAATTATAATTTTTATTTTTATTTCAGTTGTTATTTAGTAAATAGTTGCCTTAGGTCGGAACTGAGTTAGAATAAAATCGTTGTTTGATAATCTGATGACTATTGTAAATAGTGTATGAGGCCAATTTTTATGATTAAATATTTATTAACAATTAATTAATATTATTGATTATTAATAAATAAATTTTATATAGTATTATATGTAATAATTATTTTTTGTATTTCCTTTTCTTGTTTGTATAGGATCTGTATTCTTGCAATGGTCATTTTATTTACTTAACCATTATTGTGAAGACTTTGATTAACCTTTTAGATAATTATATTTGACGGTAACAATAAAGGTAAAAGTACATTGAAGAGTTTTTGAATTTAACATGCCTAATTTGAAAGTTGCATGAAAAGACATTCCGTAAAAATTTGCAATTCCTTAGCACAAGCTTCGGATGCTAAGAAATGTCATTAAAAGAATTATTTATTAACTTACAGAAAGTTCGATATTTTATAATTATCAGTATTTAATTATACTTACTATTGTTTAAACTCAACTAAATTTATTTATTTTATTGATTACCTATACAAAAATGTTCACCATACCAAAGAAACGAGCTAATAAAATTTTATATTTCAAAAAATATTAAAAAAACAAGATATATTCGTATTTAACAAACTATTTAATCCAATTAATAATTATCGAAAAAAAGTCTGTTTATATTAAAATTATCTTTTTAAATTTTGATTTTAATTTTAAGCATATTTATAAAAATTTACTGAAAAAGAACGAATTCAAGTCCAATAATCGAAGTTAATTGCTTTCTCTTGTCAGATAGAAAGTCGATTTATTGATCATTAAAGAAAGTATAAAAATTAATTATGCACCTTAGAACTGTAAGTAAATGGTGAATGAATATTCCTATGATAGAAACAAATATTACAGTATTTAAACCACTCAGGCATATATTCCTACAAAATATAAGAGTTCTGAAACTCTAATAAGTTGGCTTCTCATTTCTCATCCAAAGATATGGGAACTTTGCTATTATATCGGGTTCCAGGGAACCCTACAACCAAAAATGAGATTTTTGCTTAATATAATATACCATATATAATATGTACTTTATATTTATGGTCTATTACTAATATAAAGCAAACAAAATGGTCGGTAAATCATATAACACTCTAAAATTATATTCTTAGATGTTATGAAAATAATTAATTAAAAGTTTCGGACCATCTGTGATTTTTTTATTTTAAAATAATTTATAAATGAAAAATAAAAGTAACACTTTATATTTAGTTTAAACTTTAAGTGTTCGCATGGGTGAGCTGGTATTTATACATCACAGAAAAAATTTTATCGTAAATCTGAAATATAATAAAAAGAAATAAAAAAAAGAAAAACAAAAATAATAATTCCCAGTTTTAAAAGTTTATACTTATACCTTATAATAAATCTTTGGTGAAAAACTAATTACGCACATAAATAGTCAACACCAATTAATTCAGCATTTGATAAAGGTTTTCTAAAAAAGCAAACTCTTTGTGATATCAGAGTTAATTTCAACTTCGGTCCAGTCCATAATAATAATCGTCGTTTATACTGAAATACAACTAAATATATGGCATTATTCCATCAATAGACAATTCACTTATAATGACAATTAAAAAAATATATTAATGTAATTGTAAATCAAAAAATTTATTTCGCTTGTAATAAATAAATACATTAATTTATTTAAATATAACAGTCGGTAATTAATTGATATCATAAACTTGAGGTGTCCGAACAGAAAATATCAGCGGTCTTGTTCTCCCCTGAATGTTATATAAAAATTATTATCTGTTTATATAAAGAAAAGCAAGTTCAATTATTTGATTAAAGAAAATAATTTCAATATTACATGGTTTACTTTTTCTAAATTTTGTTTTGAATATAAATTGTTAGATGAATTAATCTTCATTAAATTTTTCTTCTAACTTTCTTCACACTCATCCTCATCTAGTTTTCAAAACTGTAAAAATGTCTGAAATTTTTTTTTTTTTTTAAAAAAAAAAAGAAAGATAATAATATAAAATTAAAATAATTATTAATAGTTGAATTCTTACAATTTCATTTAGTTTCGCCATTTGATAACATTTATTTCCATGAAATCCAATTATAATAACAATTGCAGTACCAACAATTCCGCTTATTGTACCAATTATAACATTAGGTTTAGGTAAAGTTTTAGGTTCAAATTTAACAACTAAAGTATAGCTGCTGATAGCTAATAAGTATATTTTATTTTCATTCGAACTGATAATATTTGCTAATCCATTTGTATGAGTAAGGTGATTTATTTATTTAGACAAGTCAAAATGGAAGTATTAGTATTACGTAAAAGGAATACTTGCCAAATGCCACAATCTTATAATTTTCAACTAAATTAGCAGTATGAAAAGTAAATGGTATGTCACCAACATTTGATGATGATTGCAGCTTGGCCCATTCTAATGGATTCGTTTTAGTTTTAAATCAGCTAGGTCTGGTACGGTTTTAATAGATTTGCTATAATCGCCTTTTATCCCACCATTTATAATTATATTTTCTTCATTAACTATATCAATGTAAATAGAATAATTATATAATATGTAAAGACAATAAATGACCGTAGCGGGATTAAATTTGATCATTTCTTCTTGCATTCTAAATAAGTTTTAATTTAATAATTATTTAAGAAATGAATTATAATTATTACAGTTATCGTTAGATTTAGTATCATAAAAGACAATTTTGGTTAATATTCACTTCACGCAATTTATTATCATTTGTTACTTCCTGACCTCCAATATATACTATCAATCCATTTGTTAATAATGTTGCAGTATATACCATACTCGTTTTAAAGGAGAATTATCAATAGTACCATTTGAAAATGTCATATCATTTGTATTTAATATTATTATAACGGTCATTGAATTTAAAGCTGATCCTCCTAAAACATAAATATTTCCAGTACATCAGCGACAGCTTGATTCCTCTTTGTCCAATTGGCTCTATTCCAGAAATTATAGATACATTCCATTGCCCTGATTTTGTAAATGTATATACTAGTGCGGTAAAAGCAGCTGCATTATTTTGATCAAACATAGATCCTCCAATTAGATATATTGACGGTTATTGTTATTATTTAATGCAACAGTAGTCATCAAACAACTAAAAAATTTATTCCTGGATTTAATTTAAGGTCAATACATGGTAAAGTCCTGTGCAGTTGAGAACTATTATCATTAACAATCATTATTATTCATGATTACTCATAGATTTTGATTGTTTTCAACACTTTCATGTTTTGAAATAAATGTATTTTTCTCCACTTTTACATTTTCATCATTCTTTTGTATATACAAAATTTTACATTCGCACGTATGCATCGTATGCACATTTATTAGAGTTATCTACTTCTTTTATAATTTTTCTATAAATATGGATGTGCACTCGAGCACACGCTCACACGAGATTTAACAAAAAGAAAAAAACAAAAAATTGAAGTTTAAATCCGAACCAATTTCTCCGACCCCAAAGCATCCTACTAACTTCAATTCTCCGAACCTAGCACTACCTCTTCCAATTTATCGACCTAAGAAAAATCGAACTGAACACAAGAATTTTTCCGATCTTCCGACTCAAATAGCAACTCCGATCAATTTTTACTAAAAAATTTATTTTTATTTCACTTTTACAATAGACATTTTTATATTTTTAAATTAGATTTTTATTTAAAAATCATACAGTCGCGATAAACTTACAAAAAGACAGAAAAAGGTAAAAAAAGTAAAATAGTTGCAACTAAAAAAAAAACTTTCACTAAGACCTTAACCGAATTAGGGAAAGAAAAAAATAATTCAACTGTTAAAAAATATGAATAAAAAACAAGACTAAGGATATCCAAATAATAGGTGGAGCCGATAATTGCCATTATCCCATTTATAGCATTGAAGAAGAGTATTTTGTTTTAATTTTCCCCACTGGTCAAAATATTGAGTTTATCGAGGATTTTTGAAAAAGAGAAATAAAAACCAAAGAGAAAAAGAAAGGTTTTTGAAAAGTTGTGAAAAAAAAAGAGTAGTTAAGTATCCTCGTAACATTATTTTATGATGCAGTATTTAATGAAGCGATTACTCGAAAAAAAAAATTATCCTACTAAGATAGAAGAGTGCCACTTATCGACGGAACAGAAATTTATTATCTAAAAAAATATAAATAAATTTTTCATCTCTTCCCTGGTCTAACTTTTCCATCTGGGTAAACATTGTCATAACTTCCATCTGGGTGTTCCACATCCCAATGAGGTCCGCCGTGAGAATTAGGATTGTCTGAATTTTCTCCTGTAGGAACCCAAACGCTTCCTTTTCTATCTGGATATCCTTTACGATTACTTTTTGGAGCTTTTTTCAACTTGCCATCCCAGTTTTTAGGTTTCTCATAGCCGTTTTTTTCAGTTGGTTTGCCTGGTGCTTTAGCGTAGCAGATTATATTTTTCAAATTATCCAAAGTGAAACAACTTGTTTTATCACTATATCCCTTTTTAAGAAGAAGTTGTCTTTCTTCACTAGTAATACCATCAAGCTACCATTCGTGAATAGTTCGTTCTCCTAGGTAAGTAGAGGTATTGGTGGAATTAGAAGTAGGAACGGAGAGAGTAGCAAATTCATCAACAAGATAATTAATAGTTCTTCCTCCGATTTCTATTGCTTTAAATGCAACAACCGTTGTAGCTGCCACAGCTGTTGCTACAACTGCAACTTCAACGACTTCTTCCACCAAAACTTGCAATAAGGTTGTGAAAATGAAAGCCATAATCTAGGCAGAAAAAAAGAAAGCGTTTAGATTTACTCCATTTGGCAGATTTATGTTAATCATTTACGCCAATCTTATGACCTAATTATGAGATAGAGGTTTGAACAGGTTTGATAGAATTTGAGAAAAATTCGGTTTAAACCGGTTCCAACATAAAACCGGGTCTGGTTTTAAAGATTCAAAAATCTGGTTTTAATAAAACTGGTTGATTGCGAAAATTCGAATTTAATTGTTTAAACCCGTTAATTTAACATTTAAAAATAAATGTTGCGTCATTTAGTAGTTACGAAAGTCAAAGAAAATTAAGATCACGTGGCGCATTCTGTTGTCCTTGTTACATTGATACACATTAGTAAATCATTAAATAAATAAAAAATAAGCGAGATAAGCATTACGAGTGTACATTTATTTTCATTACATTTTTCCAGCTGATCCAACTCTAACCTAGATACACAAGAATAATTAGTAAAATAAATATTTCGCTCCGGACCAGCAACCGTTTCCGTTTCCTAGTTATATTTACCTGGTGATCACAAACCTGGTCTATGCATTAAAATCAAACTTTACAATGGCGTTAAAAGATTAATTTTTTTTTTTAATATAAATTTTTATAAATTTTTACTATAATTAATAATTAATAAATATTGTATTTTTCGAAGATTATTTCGATGATTCAATTTTTATGTATATTTTTTTTACTTTAGGGTGCGATTCGAATGAACTTTTCATTCGAACTTCAGCAAAAAGACATTACAGAAGATCCTTTAAAGTGGTGCGATGCAGTTTTATATTTTATCTCATCAAATATTTATCCATTCCAGCAACTTTTGTACCTACCAAATATTGTTTAAAACGCGGGTAATTATATATTTCAGTAAACGTACTCAAATCAAGCTTTATTTTTAAAAAGAAATAGTAATCATTTTATTATTTTCTCAATTTTTTATCTATCATTTAACATTTAATTAGCTTAATATTTTTTCTTTTAATAAAATTAAATATAAACTAGATTTTGCAGTTTGCGGGAGACTTCGTCTCCCGTTTAGCATTAAATAATTGATTACATAACCAATTCAATTAAACTTTAAAATTTCATTTATGATAAATAATAATATAAATCCAAATTTTTGAAAACATTTAATTATATTGATAAAAAAGAAGTTTAATTTTTATTAATTAAATTAATTTTTCTAATTAAATTTTTCTTTGCAGTTAATTTTTTTTTTTGATTATTTTTATTAATTTTTATTTCAAAAGGCAAGTATCAGCACAATATTTGTCATAAAATATACAGTATATATTTTATAGGCAAATTTTTCATATGAAAAACTTACTGATAAGATTATTGGGTAACCTATGTAAAACTATTCGCCCCACAACTTGGGCTTTAGCTTATGAATAGTTTAAATTTAATGTTAATAGTTAATTATTAATAAGTTTTTAATATTGCAAAATCATCGCTTATTTGTAGCTAATAAATGCTTATTTAGCATTCCATATTTTATTAAGATGTGAAATCCCCCAATTATATACAGTATGTAGATTATTTTGATTATTTTATTTCATTTTTGATATTATTAAATTAATTTAGCATCAACATTACTTCATTATTTACTAAATTAAAAATACTCTGCTTACATTTAAAATTGAATACAATACTATATTCTTGAAAATTTCAATAGAAAACCTGAAGAATCTGAATCTTTAAAAAAAATATCGACTTTGTATAAAACCATAAAATATTTGCTATTTATAATATTAGTATGACAGAATAAATCTAAAAAGAACCTTTTAGGTGATATATGGTTTAATATCCTTGGTCTTCTTGTTTAACAATTGCAAAACTCTCTAACAATGTATATTCTCTCATAGTCTATTTTTAATATAACAAATCAATTCAGGGAAATAAGATCTTAAACTTACTAAGCAGAAATTTATAGAATGCAATTGTGTACTTTGTATTCATAAAATGAATTTAATGACTTGTAAAGTTCTCTTTATTGATGAACTTTATCTTGTGATCTTGATTTGTATATTGATTAAGAACTTAAATACAAATACTTTTTAAACACATCGTGAGAACTTGATCATATGATCAATTCGTTCTAATTCTCTATACTAATGTTATTCCTAATATTAATTCCAATTGTATAGTATAATGATAATTAATGCTGAAGAAAATAATCAAAAATTATGATTTGTTACTTATTATAATTTTGAAAGAAGAATGTTATTGGTTAAAAAATCTAATAGATATACATCTAATGCTTGAGTAATTAATGTTCAGGGATTAGAATTTTGCACAAACTGGACTTATAGAGAAAGATATTCAACCTTTTTAATATTAGGTCAGATCAAATATTTAACAAAATGATAATTGCAAAATCATCAAATCATCTTAAGACTGGGTTTTCAAGGAATGTTCCTTAATCAGGTAGAATTTTAATAGCTATTTCTGTAGTAACAAATAGTCAGGATTCTTAAAATTGAAAATAGAAATATTGAAATTCTTATAAACTATTAATTGCGAAAAAAGTATAAATTACCAGTATTAGAGATTAGAACAGTTTGTTATGCTTGATTTTTCAGTAATAAAGAGTTTTCATAAATAACACATGTATGTGTATCAAAGAAAGCACTATTAATATTTATTGATATTTGTTTGTAATTAAATTCTAGAGCTTGAGAAATCACTACACAGGTCATATATAAGGTAATAGGAAGAAATTTCTTTGATAATATAAGGAAAATAAAAAAGTATCAAAAGTTTTAGCCAGAACCCATAGCAATAAAAATAATAAAAATGAAAATTCAAAATATTTATAGTAACTTATTAAATAGAATTTATAATGCAATTCAAAAATAATTTTATGAAATGAATCATGATATATTAACTCCATTTTGAAATAAAATTTGTGTCAAGAACTTATATATTATTGAATCTGTACAACTAAAAACTTTATTTTAATATAAAAAAAATTTCTAATAAATGACTAAACTATAATTATTCATAAAAGTACCTATTATATTTTGAAATAGTTAATTCTGAAATTAAAGACCTTTCTTAATATTTGTTTCTCTAATTTCTTTAGAAATAAATAATATAATCAATATAATTAAAATTAAATATATTATTTAAATTTACTATATAATACTAAATATTATTATATATCAAATAATCATACATACAAAAAGTATATTTGAATATTGCAATATATAAAGTAGATTCCTTTAAAATTATGTCTCACACTCTTATATGTAAAAATTTTAGATCATAAAAATGATTATGTTACCATATAAACATATAAACATAATCACTATCATTTAAAATTGATTATATAACTAATCTGTCAACTTAGTCAATGAACTTTTTTGTTGAATGTAAAACTATCGACCGGTTGATTCATTTATATAAAGTGTCTATTAGAATTGTTTTTCTAAAATCATAAAAATATTCAATTATACAAGTAGTTAATAATTACTATTAGTCCTTAATTAATCATTAAATTAACGTTAAATCTTTTATCATTTAATTAAAGAACTTTTCTTTAATAAGATCTAATCATTCAGATTTTTGATCGAGTTTTAAGTTGATAATTACTGGCAGATAAAATTGTGTAACTTGAACAACAAAAAGGTGAAAATTTTTTGATCATATAACAAAAACAAATAGTTAATAGGTTTTTGTTAAAATTTTTTATGATCAGAAATTCCCAAATTTAATTATGAGTTTGATCACATATTTGAATTGTTAACAGATTTTATGACTAAAATCCAAATGATCAAAAATGAACAGGCCTAATATCAAATCATTTTATCACTATTTTCATTATAATTTTATCTTACAAATAATAAAATCTCTTAGAAATGAAGAATTAATTTCTTTTTGAAATGAAAATTATATAGTTACTTTTAATAGATCTATTTGTTTATATTCTAAAAATATTTCATGTTCAAGAAAAATGTTACCTCATCTTATTATTAAAAATAATGTAGTATAAAAAATTATAAAAAAAAGGTTTATTATTAAGGGTGTAAATTTGTTAAACAAGTTGAAAGACTGACTTATCTTATTTTCTTTTATTTTCCTATTATTTTAACGCTCTTATTTTTTTTTTCTAACTCTTGATTGGGTTCTGTCTAATCAGTCTGTTGCAGCAAAAGTAAGGATTTTTTTGCATTATATCAGATTACTAATCTTTTATTTATTTTCCTTTTTTTTATTTAAACAATTTTAGGTTTAGATTCAGATTTTGATTGAATTGTTTAAATAAAGATAAGTTGCAAATTTGTATTATTTTTTTATCATTATTTTGAATTATTAATTGTTTTGTTTTTTTAATTTAATTAATCAAATTAGTGATCAATTGCATCTCATCTACCCTTAAAAAGTTAAGCTTAAATTTTTATATATTTTTTTTGATTTAATAAAAAAGTGTTGATTAGCTATACTGTTATTGATTCTTTTTTTTGTAATATCTAATAATTATATTATATAAACTGATTTTATTTTTTTTAAAAAAGGCTAAACTAGAAACATAAAAATTTAAATATGAATATTTTTTTTAATATATAAAGAACTTCTATTCCATTAAAACATTATAGTAAAACAGTATATAAAAACAGTATAACAAAATACAGAAATAGTATAACAAATTACTGAAATAGTATAATAAAATACTGAAATAATATAATGAATACAATAACAGTAAATAGTAATAATATTTTCTTAAAAATGACATCAAGATATTTTTGAAAACCTTTTCTTTTTTATATATTACAAAGTAATAATTAGTGGTAATATAAATACAATTTTCCTTTTAAGTCAATTTATTTACCTTTTTTATATTGGACATATATTATTTTTTATCAACCAAAATGTATATTTTGTTAATTAAAGAAAAATAATTTATAAACATGAACATTATATAAACCTTATAGCAATTTAATTTTTCAGATTTATTATAACTGAATGTTCAGTTTAATCAGTTTTATTTAAA